GCCAAGAAGTTTAGTCTAGAAAAAAGTTCTCTAGAAAGTTGAAACTGGCCATTAAGAATGTTCAACATTCAATTTATTAAAAAAAAGATTGCTGCAGATAAAATATCTGGCAGATTTTACACAACAATTGTCCGCTCTGTATTAGATGTATATCATTTATGACGACATCCGCCTTTGCTTCAATCTATTCTGTGTATAATTAGTATTCCACGATCTATTTTGGTCACTACATTCATACGTGGAATTGTCATGTCATCTACACTGGTTACTGTCCTAGATATATTAACAGGAACACCGGAATTACTTTGACAATTATAACATACGAATAGAGACTCTAATACAATTCAATAAGATTTATTTTGTAACCATACCATACCTAATTTATGAAACTACTATTTGGGAATAAGTAGGTTTGCACTTAGTTAATTTATAAGGAAAGTTCTAGATTATGTAATATGAAAATTAGGATCCGAACAAAAGTAGGGATTCTCATTAGGCAAGAACTTAGCATATTGAACTTCTGTTATCTGTAACTTTAGCTATTCTTTTGTTAAGAGGTTACTGATCTTATTACGTCTGCGTTAAACATTCTCTTACGAGCATAAAAGAATTGATCACCCACGCATTGAATGAAATTTCCTAAATACATTTGGGTAACCACATCACCACTTAATCATAATGTTGGGATTAGGATAACAAGAATTACCACATAAAATTAGTTGACATTGCATCACAAATTCAATCAGATTCCAAAGATTAACTGATTTCGAGGTCTCTTTTTTCAGAATCACTTTAAGAAACCGGGTTAGCCTTTGAAACTTTTATAATTTTTATATTTTCTACTATCATTTACCGCATATATACTATTATAATAAAGCGTAACCATACACTTCTTTGTTGCCTAAGATGTCAGCAATTGCAGCATATTTTTGAATATTTCTTTTTTAATAAAAAGCCCTACACTTACGTCACGCTTTAGGCTATATATTTTCGAGCAATTAAACTTAGGGGTAAGTATTTTGGATAAAAACCCTAATGTGGAAAAGAGACCATTAGTTGCTGCCAACATCAAGGAAGCAAGACTGACAAGGTCTGTCAGGTCGTGTCATTTTGACATTTGCTATTGATAATTTGAAAAATGTAAACAATAAAATAAATTTTTTACAAATTCATGCTGGTGAAGCCACACGGGGACAGCTAGTCTTAAATATAGACTAGTGTAATAAATGTTAAGCAAGAAATTAAATAAAATCCCACGCTGTACAAAATTGTTTTAACAATACTTCACTTGGTTTTAAATTCATTCGCTCTTAAGATACGATATAAAGTAAGGAAGAAATTGTTTTTCAAAGAAATTCTTTTGTTCAAACATCTCGTATTTAATTCCAATCTTAGTCGGACAGGTTCTTAAAAGTAAATTAATATTACGTTTGTCGTACTCGGATATGAGACTGGAACAATTTGGACAACAAAGTAAATTTAATAAAAAATGTTGCGAATATTTAAAGGTCGAGATACGAAACATATTTTTGACTAAAAATTATACTTGTATTTAAAATTATATTATTTATTTGTTATTCTTAATTCAAATTTATTTACGAGTAATTATTTAAAAGAAAATAAGACTCATATACACATTGTTCTTGAATGTGTCTGTAGATTAAAATGTATGGTTTCATTCTTACGTCGATTAGCCTTTTATATTAAGTTGATAGCAACGACAATAGAAATATCAAGAATATGTAGGTCACTTAACTCTATCATTGCAATGTCTTAACATGGATCTCTACTACGTTTACTTTTTTTAAATCTTGTGCTATCGTAGGTTCAATTTCATCGTTATCCATGTCGAGTAATAACGAAAATTAAATATACCATTTTTTGTAAAATTATCAATTAGTTTTATATCTTACAAGCTTATGATTGCTACTTTGTCCGCGCAGAATGAGATAAAAACTTGCAAACCAGGCCATATGTTCTTCCGGACTGTGTTCATCTGTACCAAATATCATCAAGATTAGTAAAGCCGTTATACTATACATAGTAACCAACATCCAATCTGTCGCATTATTATGAAATATGATGTAACTATGAAATATGACTATTGTGAAATCGTTAAACTGTTGCGCGTAAATTCACAAAAGTAACAAAAATACTTGATGGCGATAAACGTAACCTGAGGTGCTAACAGCGCGGTAAAAGATCAGTATTGCGCTATAAAACGTTACAGCACGTTTCTGTCTTGTTAGCTCGAAGATGTATATAAACGTGGGTGTGTCCGTCCGTATATTAGTTTCAACGGAGTGCCCATAAAACAAGGATGTTCGAGTGGGTCCATTATATTACGCTTTCTTAGCGTTAAAAGGAAAGTTTAGTAGTTTGAGACATTTTCGGCAATTGATGAGGACAGGCCGTAACTAGATTTATAAGCGTTTATGCGAGACAAGCTGATTTTAAGTGTACATTTAGGGAATTGTAATTTGAAATCTTAACACAAGCTAATTTATCAACACTAAAAAGTCAACAACAAAGATCAAAACATTAAGAGTGTCCGCAAACCTGAAACTTATACTATCGCACAACTGTTTAGTCTGGCTTTGATTCCTGAGCTTATATGGAGGTGCGCACACTACTCGATTTTTGGTTGTACAACTAAACAGTTCAATTGATTCAGCCCACTCCAACAACGTTCATAATTGTTCTCATATTCGATGGCACTAACATGTCTTCTGGTACAAGAACCAAATACAGACTTAGCTTATATCTCCAGCCATGAACATCTCAATGCAAGTGGTGATCGTGGTGGCGGCGGTGTGCCTGTG